AAATAATGAAAAGTCTCATTATTATTTAAAAAAAATAAAAATATTATATATATATATATATATATATATATGCTTTTTTATTATATACAATATTTTTTATTAATATAATACATTATCAAGTTGGGCTCGGGCTGGGCTTTTCTAAGAAAGCCTGAGCTTGGCCCGAATAAAAGTCGGGCCCGATATTTTAGGCTCGAGCCCGAGCCCACAGGCCTGACATCTTGTCCAAGCCTGACTTAGATCAGGCCGGGCTACCTGGCCCATGAACAGGTCTAATTACCGCTCATCTCTTAATGCTGAAGAGATAATGTGCACTTTAGGTTTTCGGAGGGTTCGTTTGCTCAAAATCTTCAAACCTCTGAATTTGTACTAACTTGTACTAACATTTCATCAATCAATTGGCATTATAAATTAAATTTCAAATTTATCCCTCCCTTTATATTTGTATTCTACTTCTGTAACACACCCATCTTCTACACAAGTCACAAGGGTACCCATTTCGCGGGTGACCCATATCGAGTATGGCTTTTAATAATAACTAGTGGGGACCCGTGCGATGCACGGGATTTGCTAAGCAAAAGTTAAATAATAGAAAGGGTCATTTACTAAAACACCCCTTATAGTTTCATGGATTTACTAAAATCTACCCTATAATTTTTATTTTACTAAAACACCACTTATAATTTGCAATGGCTTTAATCAATCTTCCATTAGATGACAAAGGAAAATGACAATGTTGACCCTAATGTTCATTTAAATAAATTTAATCAAATAAAAATAAAAATACCAATTTTACCCCTAATAAGACACGAGTAACCACCCTATTGGCTATATTTGGTCAATTTTGTTTTCTATACAAAAAAGTGTTAAGGGTATTTTTAGAATAAAAAATCATAGGCCTAATAGAAAAACAAGCACTTCTTAATGAAAGGTTTATTAAGTAAATAAGTTGTAAAATATATGTGACATTTTAGTAAAATGAAAATTATAAGGTAGGTTTAAGTAAATATGTAAAACTATAAGGTGTGTTCTAGTAAATGACTCTAATAGAAACACATAAGAGTATGCAATTGTTTTATATTTTTAACTTTTTAAATAATTAATAATTATTCATATTTTATATATTACTTATTATAATTTTTATAATACAAAAATAACAATAATTAATTTCAGTTAGATTTATTCATCAAAATGATGAAACCGATCAACCCAATCCACTTGACCCTAGTTGGTCGGTTTTCTAGTATTTTAGGTTGGCTTTGGTTAAAAAATTTCCCAACTTGACCAAGTTTGATCGATTTTGCTTTGGCCATTTGTAAACTGACCAAAATTGGATGACCTGACCATTATTACTATTTTATATTTTTAATATAGAAAAATGAGAAATTTTCCATATTTCTTAGTCTAAAATGTTTTATATCATAAATGTATTTTTTAACAATTGCACCGTAATTTTAAAAATTTAAATCTTTTGAACTGACTAACCAAACCAAAAAATCGACCCAAATCGATACAACTAGAGTGGGCCGGTTTTCACAACTGGTCAGTTTGTTTCAGCTAATGAACTCCCCAACCTGATTAGGTCAATTTGGTTGGCTAAACAACCTACAACTGAACTGAACCAATTCATGAACACTCATAATTTCAGATAAATTAATAGTCTCATCTCTAATAAATAAAAATAATTTAATCTCTAATAATTATTGAAAATTTATAGAAAAAATACCCAATTATTGAAAATATATTGATAATGAAAAAATACAATAAGTAATAAATATGTATTAAATTAGTCAATAAATAGTATAATCTCAAATAATAGTTTAATCTCTAATAAATGTTAGTCAATAAGTTATAACAAAAATACAATAAGTACAATAATTAAAATTAAAAAATTTCAATAATAATAGTTTAATCTCCAATAATTATTGAAAGATTTCTATTAAATAACAAAACAAAAATAAATTTATCACAAAAAATAATAAAAAACTACTGAAATACAATAAATATTAATATTAGTATATATAATTATATAATAAATATATATTAAGAGTTTAAAATTATTATTGATAAATATTAATTTCTATGAAATTTATTTTCTCGAATTATTAATTGATATAAGCAAATTTAGTTATTTACAATATTATGTACAAATATTAAATTATTATTAAAGTTATTTCATTATTAATTTTGCAAAATATTAAATTATTATTATTTTCAATATTATGCTATAATTATTTTTCTACTTTTCAGAAAAATTTTAAATTTATTACATATTTTCGTTATTTTAACTATTTAAAATCTAGTTATGTTAAATATTTAGTTATTTACACATTTAAATAATATGTAAAATATTTAAAATTTTTATTTGAATTTTATTTATTTAAATCTATTACATATTACTAAATATTTTGTTATATAATTATTTATAACATTTTTTTATTTAAGATATTTATTTATTGAAATATGTAAATAAGATTTTATTTTTAATGTTAAATTTTTATTGTTTGAATAATATTTAAATTGATAATCCAGAAAAACAGAATTTAAATAATTAGTACATAATTTCGTGATATGTTTTGCAATATAAAATTATTTTTTGTGTTTTTAATAAATATTCTAAAGTTATTATATAATTTTTGGATATTTAAATAATTCTTAATTTTTTTTATTCCAAACTTTTCTTTAGATAGATATAGATAAAAAGTGGTGTAGAGGATAAATAGGAATTAGAGATAATTTTAGGAAATTGGACAAATAGTGGGGGAGGTAGTTTAGGAGAAATTTTAGGAGAAGAGATTATTTAGGCTATTGGGTAAGTGCATCTCATTGGTTGTTTCAAAAATGACATGGAATTAATAAAACAAAAAATTCAGAAAAAGAGAAAATTTCTAGACTTCTTTGTTTTAATATAATAACTAGCGGGGACTCGTGTGATGCACGGGATTTATTAAGAGAAAGTTAAATAATAAAAAGGGTCATACACTAAAATACCCCTTATAGTTTTATGGATTTATTAAAATCTACCCTATAGTTAGCATTTTACTAAAACATCACTTATAATTTGCAATGGATTTAATCAATCTTCCATTAGATGATAGTGRAAMATGACAGWRTTGACCCTAATGTTCATTTAAATAAATTTAATCAAAAGAAAATAAAAATAAAAATACCATTTTTGCCCTTAATAAGACATGGGCAACCACTCTATTGGCTACATTTGTTCAATTTTGTTTTTTTATACAAAAGAAGTGTTAGGGGTATTTTTGGAATAAAAAATCATGGGCCTAAGGGCAAAACAAACACTCCTTAATGAAATTGTGGGCCTAAGGCCCCGACCTTGATTCTGAAATGAATCCCCAAAATGTTTTCAGATAATAGTATTTTCAAAATAAATAAAAATTTTAAATTATAAATAATGTTTTAAATATGCTTTGATATATATAATATAAATAATATAATAGTATATTTAATATAAATAACATTTAATACACACACACACACACTCACATATATATATATATATATAATTGGGGTTGGGGTGGGGTGGGGACCTCAATCCCCATCGCCGACCCCGACCCTGACCTTGATCGGGGATTCCTATTAATCCTTGTTCCCGCCCTCACTCCACCAAAACAATTCCCATCCCCAGCCCCATTGGGCCAGGGAAGTTAAGTCCCCGTCGAGAATGGGGAAAATTGCCACTCTATATTATAATAATAATAATAATAATAATAAATTTATTTAATTTATTTTAATAATGGATTGTTATATAAATTAATTATTTTAATATATAAAAACAATTTTATAATTTGAAATAGTTATTTTAATAATTACAATAACCATTTCAGTCCTTATTTATTACTTAACTAATTAAACAAATTAATAATTATTAAAACATGTTAATATTTAACCATAGAAATAATAATTACATAATTATTTAAATAATATAATTGAAAAATCTTAATTATTTATAATTAATGTGATTATATTAATTTTTAATTAATTAAACATTCATACAAATATAAAAAATAAATAATTAATTACTAAAATAATTTATTTTTATTTATTTAATAATTAACTATTAAAATAACTAATTTAGTAAATATTATAAATTAAAATAAATATTTTTAATATCTTATTATATATGAATGATTATTTTATTTTATTCTCAATTATTTAATAATTATTATTTACTTATTTAATTTTTATTAAATAATTAATAAAATATTATGTACTAAATATCTCTGAATAAATAATTATTAATTGTTTTAATAATTTCATCAATTCTGATTTTATTAATTATTTTACATTCATTTAATGAATTATTAATTAATTTGTTAAATAGTTAAACAAAATTTTCATATCCAAGGTTAAAACGGTCATTTGTTATATTTTAGAATTCAACATTCAGATTTCAGAACAACATCTCTACATTCAGACTTCAAAACCAAGAAAAGCTCACCAACTCTAATATATCTCTTAAGGTAATTACAGTTTCAAAGGCATTCCGACTTCAGAATTTATTATAAGCGAACAAGCCCCAAGTCTCGTTACCACTAGTAGGAGATCTTACCAACCCGCCTATTTGATATGAGATTGAATCTGCTCCTCATATAACATGTCTCATACCAATCTAACAGCACATCGCAGCCGTGTGTTGAGAACATTTTCCATACATACTATTATCATTCTTGGGAAGATGTTCCCAATGCACGGCTATAATGTACTGTGAGGATGGTGTGAGGCACTTTCTCCGGATCTGGTCCTCTCATAACGCGTTACACCGATATCTCCGGTACTTATATCTTATTATTTACGGAAGATGTTTTCAATGCACGCCAAGATATGTACGTCGTTGTGAGGAGCAGATCCCAATTCTTAGCCACCACCCTAAAACTAAATGAGGCAGTCAGTGACTCGGGGTCAACTGGGACCCACTAACGGTATCTCTTCTCTCGTTATTTATTATCATATAAATCATAACGCAAACGACTAAACAAATCCCACCGTTCCGAAGCCTGCAGGTGTTCCCCGGACGCAAAATCGTAACTACTATCTCTCCAGACAGCTTGACTCTATTGGTCAAGAAACAACCCAAATCACCGAAATAAATTTTATTAAACACTCCATAAATCTATTAAATTCCACTTCTACGTCCTTAATTATCAATCTCTTCTCCCTCTCGCGCCCTCGTCACGTTCGTGGGTCTTCAGAGCATTGTCTTCTGTACGAATAGTAGGACTCAGGATTTATATTTTTGATTTTATCAAATTAGAAATAACACGTTTTTGATGAATTCGAGATTTTAGGGTTTGTTGTTTCGTCCCAAATTTTTCATCACAGTTTCTTGTTGTAAACAGAACTCCTTCAAATTTTATTTCATTTAAGTTTTCGAATGGAAAGGAGATCAGCAGTAGGATTCTCTCTAGGGTTTCCAGTGCTGTTTTTGTTGGTAGAGGTTTCTTTGATGTCGCCGGCGACGGCGAGGTTTGTGGTGGAAAAGAACAGCTTAACTGTGACATCTCCAGACAGCATAAAAGGTACTCACGATAGTGCCATCGGTAACTTTGGAATCCCTCAGTATGGAGGAAGTATGGCCGGGACGGTTGTATATCCGAAGGAGAACATGAAGGCTTGCAAGGATTTTAACGAATTTGGTACATCTTTCAAGGCGAAGCCCGGAGCGCTCCCTACATTTGTATTGGTCGATAGAGGAGGTACTTGTTAGCTTAATTCGGCAGAATTTTACTTTGTTTTTACTCTTGTTCAGCTTTGAGGTATTCTTTCTGCTATTTATTTATTTTTAATATTTGAGATGACTTTTAAATAGTAGAAAACAAGACTGGTGATGAGATGTTCAAATTACCCAGCTTATTATAATTCAGTTTCGAGTTCATTTTTTGGGCGGACTTTCAAAATATATGTACACAATTCACAATCATAAACCCCCTAATTAAAGGATACTGGTGGAGCTCTAGAAGCCACCACCAACAAGATGAAAGGCAAAAGTCAACAGATACAGTGAACCAACCTAATAATATACCAGGGTAAACACGATAAGTACTGCCGCAATCCCTATCAAAAAGAGATAAGTACTGCTGGAAAGGGCTACTAGTAGGATTCTACTTTGAGTTTGTTTCTTTATTCCTTCTGCTTCTGACCCTTCGATCTGTCCTACAAGTTCTAACTAGTAAGACTAATTTCAGATCCATGGTGTTTCATCTTGTTCTAGTGCATGTACTGCTGCATTCGTGCAATTTTGGGCTATCAAAATCACTCATCTGTATAATAGGTTTCTTGCACAATTTTCGTATGTCAATTAACCCCTTGAACCATGCCTTGATCTAGCCCAAACTGTGACATCATTTACCATTTTGCAAGTCTGAATAGGTCAAACTCAAACCAATTTTTAAATGGATAAACATCATGAACTCATTTTACTGAAAGGGACTAAGGTCTGAGCATGCCTTTCACCCACTAGATGATTTCACACTCCGCTTTGAAATGTTTCTTATGGACTAACATGGAAAGTTGAATCTGTAAGATCTCACAATGCTTAAATCTATAAGGGTTATCTTCTTATTGGCAACATTCAAATTTTGATAACTTAGATATTTCTTGCATTGATTAGATGAAATGAATTAGAATTTTAGTTAATCTAGAGGACCCTCATTAACCGAGATGTTTGAGTTTGAAGGAGGGGAAACTGAATTTGGGTTTAGAATATATATGCTATAAGGAACTGAACTCAACAGAGCCTTATTCTAATGGCATGGAGCTGACTTTAGGACCATTTTGTCAATCCACTTTATGTATAGGTCATATTCCTCTGTTGAGTCCTGCCTCTTCAATATCTCGCTATGACAACCATATATTCTTTGGCCTTCTTTGGCTCTTTTAGAATCCTCAACTTGAATTAGATTTCTCTATTTTACTAGTACAGTTGCTTTTCTTTTTTTTTTTGTACATGCCTAGGCCAGCTTTCTTTTCCTCATGTTATCACATATGCACTTGGTTCTGGTTTTGCCCTTTTCTAGTCTTACTAGTAATCTATCTCAACATCGCCATCTCCAGTACATTCACAATATAGATGTGTTGTACTTGATTGCCCAAAATCCTGCTCCATATAAGCCTCTTTGGAAGGAAAGAATCACTGCCCATGTAACATCCTTGGTCTTGCAATCAAGATTTTCAAAGGTAAGTGGGGCTAAATTGCTGAGGTGTAAACCTCAAATAGTAATCGTAAATAAGTTTCCCTCTTTTGGTTTAAGGGCTTGAGGGCTTCACATCTTCTAGTCTTACTAGTACTATGTTTTTGGTGCTACATAATCATTTCATTTAGGGTAAAATTGCAGCTATCCAATTTGTTTAACTTCATTTTTAATTTCTTTTCATGTAACGCAGATTATCATAGCTACACTGATAGGGGCTTGTTCCACTATATAATACATATGATGATCTTACGGGTAACATGGAGAACATTATCATTAATATTTTAGCTCTATGCAGCCATGATTTGCAACCACAGCACCACCTTTGTTGTCATTATCATTGTCATTAATTTTCCCAAGATTGCTTTATAGTTATGATCTTGTTCTTCTCCTCGGAGTTTGAGCTACTGGTTCTAAACATTCTGTTACTAAAGTATTAAGTATTAACTCTTCCCCCCTCTTCACCAAAGACAATTTTAAGGGATTAAAATACCTTATATTCCTTGCAGATTGCTTTTTTGCTTTGAAAGTTTGGAATGCCCAGAACGCTGGGGCTTCTGCAGTGCTTGTTGCAGATAACGTTGAGGAACCATTGATAACCATGGATTCACCACAAGAGGATGGCGGATCTACAAAGTATATTGAAAATATTACCATTCCATCTGCACTTATTGACAAAAATTTTGGCGAAAAGTTGAAGAAGGCACTCAGTGCTGGGGATATGGTCAATGTTAATCTTGATTGGAGAGAAGCTGTTCCACACCCAGATGATCGGGTGGAGTATGAGTTGTGGACCAATAGCAATGATGAATGTGGGGTTAAGTGTGATATGCTGATGGAGTTTGTGAAGAATTTCAGGGGTGCGGCACAAATACTTGAACGAGGTGGTTATACCCAATTCAGACCCCATTATATAACTTGGTATTGTCCTCAGGCCTTCACATTAAGCAAACAGTGCAAATCCCAATGCATTAACCATGGGAGATATTGTGCACCTGATCCTGAACAGGATTTTAGCCAGGGTTATGAAGGGAAGGATGTAGTTATTGAAAATTTAAGACAACTATGTGTATTTAGAGTAGCAAATGAATCTAAAAAGCCTTGGATCTGGTGGGATTATGTAACTGATTTTCAAATAAGATGTCCCATGAAGCAGAAAAAATACAATAAGGAGTGTGCTGATGGTGTCCTTAAATCTCTAGGTACATTTTTATTGCTTTCTTGGATTCTAAGTATATCAATTATCATAAATGGAACACTTATAATTTGCAAGTTGCATCTGGGCAGGACTTGATGTCAAACAAATTGAGAAGTGTATGGGAGACCCAAATACTGACTCTGAAAATCCTGTTTTGGAAGAAGAACAAGATGCCCAAGTAGGTCTTTCTTGCTAGTGCAGTTTTTTTCTACAACTTTTTTAGTGGTTCTGCAGCATCTTTTAGTAAATCAAAAGGTCACTATTGGCAGTTATTTGCAACTTTTGGTCCTATTTTTATTTATGCAAACTCTAAGGTGAGAAGAAATGTTTCCTTTAGGTTGGAAAAGGATCAAGAGGTGATGTGACTATACTGCCTACCCTTGTTGTCAATAATAGACAATACCGAGGTCAGTCTTAGAAGTTTGAATTTCTTACTATAAGAACATTTAGACTGTGTCAGGTTTTAAAATATGTATGTGCAGGAAAACTAGAGAAAGGTGCTGTCTTGAAGGCCATTTGTGCTGGTTTTGAGGAAACTACTGAGCCAGCTGTTTGTTTGAATGGAGGTGAGCTTTAATTATAAGTTTTGGGCAAATTTTAAAATTTTCAACTCCCTCAAGTTCTATGTTCATTAGCAACATCTGTTTTGAGCTGGGTTTTATTTTGTGTAGATATAGAGACAAATGAATGTTTGGATAATAATGGTGGTTGCTGGCAAGATAAATTGGCCAACATCACTGCCTGCAAGGTAGTCCCCCCACCCCCACTGCAGCCACAGAAAAAAGATCTCCACATATCTAGTAATTTATTTATCTCCTTTATTGCTAACAGTTGCTAAATTTATTCAGGATACATTCCGTGGAAGAGTTTGTGAGTGTCCCATGGTCAATGGTGTACAATTTAAAGGAGATGGTTACAGCACCTGTGAAGGTCTCCCTCTCTCTCTCTCTCTCTCTGCATGCTTGGGGAAGGGGATGAAAATGAATACATGCTTATCACATATAGCCTTTTATTCATTTATGCATGTTAGAGACACTTGAACATTCAAATCTATTATCAGCATCTATGTCAATTTAATATCATGCAATTAGCTGACATTGCATTTGATCCAATTCTTTAAACTTTGGTCCATATGGAAGTTCATGGCAGGTCACCCAAACATCGTATATAGAAATTGTGAAAATTCTATAAAAATGTATGAAATCTATAATGAACGTTTAGAAAATATAAACTAAATATATAAAAAATGTAGAACTCATTTTATATTACTTTTGTTGCAAAAGATCACCAAACATTTTTTGTTTTAGTTGTTAGTTTTAAGTTTATAAAAACGATACTCCTTTTTTTAATTATTTTGTCACAAAACTCTTCTTCCTGTATTTTTTTTTTTTATGTCAATGGACTTTATGCTGTGGGTGTAATTTTTTTATTGGTAACTTATAACTATTATTGACGCTTCAATGTAAATTTGTACAGAGGGATTGTAGCAGATAATATTACAGTCCCATCTGCACCTTTCACTAGAACATTTGCTGATTTTCTAATCTATTGGAACAAGCAATTCCTCATGGATACTAGAGATCTAGTTTCTCTTAAGGTTTGCCAATATTTTCATGGCCATGCATTTTCTCTTATCATCCAGCCTACACCAACATCTGAATCTTCTTCAATTTACAGCCTCCCAGAATTGAGATTTCTTGCTAATTTGAGTCCTTGCATTAAAAGGGGAAAAAAAAAGCTCTAACAGAATCTCTCCTGTTGACCTGAACATTAATATAAAATCTCACTTTCTCTCCCCCCTAAAAGTTGCATGGATATCCAAGAGTGCAAAAGGAGTAGGAAAGGGGCCATGGTTTCAGCACACTATTTCAATGAAATTAGAGGAATCTTACCATCTATTCCTACTGGAATAAGATGGATCCTCAGAGGAATTAACTTGGTTTTTTTGGATGGGTGGTTTCCATTGTACATATTGTACATTGATGTACATCATGCCATTTACATTTTTTCTTACATGTTAAAAGATTATTATATGTTTTCTCAAGAAAAAAAAAGAGAGAATAGTGTGAATCTTAATTTGATTGTTGCTTTTGGGTAATCTGAAAGAAGCCACCTTGTGCCGAAAAAAAAAGAAAGAAAAAAAACAGAGCCAAAGGTTAGGCCTGTCTGTGCCCAGTCCACATATCCTAGGACCATATAGCTGGTACCAACATTGGGTAAAGGGATTTTGTGTTTTGGGTAGTCTAAGATCATCAGTTATTGTTGGAATCTTTAGAAACTGCCAAGGGTTCATTTTCATGAGCTTCTCAGGTCCAGTGGGGAAAGGTATTCTTTAAGGTCTGAGCTGTTTGTCTTATTGTGACCGGTTAGCTGTTTTTGACAGTAGATGGATCTTTTCCATCTCAGATTTCTCAATAAAAAGACTAGGGCATTTGCTTCCAGATGGTATATCTTGTTCTGGTGGATCTGCAGATCAGCTAATGACCTAGCAAATTCAGTTGAAAGAGGTGGGACTGAAGGCCTTTTTCATTGGGGGCACCAGGCCCAGGCTACATACTTCAGCTGTATTTGGCCTTTTACTTCTCTTCCTTTTCCTTGTTAATAAAATCTCTTTTGATTGTTGTTATGTTAAATGTTATTCATGCATCAGCTTCAGGTATTAAATGTTTTTATTCTTTTATAGCTTTAGTTCCAATGAAAATTTTCTTTTCAAGTATGCTTTTGATGTGCCATTTTTTCTAGCATCTTATGGTCTTGTATTGCACCTATTTTTCACATTGCAGCAAGTGGACCTGGACGATGTAAGATAAATAATGGTGGTTGTTGGCATGAAACTCGAGATGGAAAGACCTTCTCTGCTTGTGTGGTTGGTGATAGTCTTTGCTAACTTTTTTTCCTCCTTATATGGTCTAGTATACTCACTATTGTCATTATCAGGATGTTGAGAACAGTAAGTGCCAGTGTCCTCCAGGATTTATAGGTGATGGTGTTAAGAGCTGTGAAGGTAAGAGATCCTGCCTTGCCAGTATCTTCTGTTCTAGACGTATGCCATAAAAAAGAAGAAAATGAAAACAAAAGAAACAATTACTTTTTTTCTCTATAAGTATGATAAATGTGAGATTTACCTTAAGGGACCCAGTAGACATGGTAGCTAGAATCCAAGTGCATACATGACCTAAAAATTGACATGAATGCTTAGTTGCATACACATCCTACAGCACATTTTATGCTTCAGTAAATATACAGACATATATCAACTGTACCATTTTTTTGCTGTACACAATTGCTGTTTATAGATCATTATCATGATCCATCTGACAGATGTAGTGAATCCGTTATGAAATGCAAGTTGACTTAGCAGCTTTGCAGATGGATAAATTGTAATTGCATTGGGATATAGTGTAAAGAAGCTAAAACACGTTCCAAGTTTAACAATTTTTTTTTCCCCTTTTTGTACCTTATTCTTGCTACTGATAGATATTGATGAGTGCAAAGAAAAGAAAGCTTGCCAGTGCCCTGAATGCAGCTGCAACAATATATGGGGTAGCTATGAATGCACTTGCAGTGGAGAGCTCTTGTACATTAGGGACCATGACACCTGCATAAGTGAGTATAGCAATTTTACTCTCTCTCCTATGCGTGTGCACACATATACATACATGAGTTTGCATAATATTTACGAATTCACATCTGTTCCCCACAAACGCCCCACAGCACATCCCAACTGTGTATTGGGAACATCTCCCACTGACAAGTACGGAAGATGTTCCCAATGCATGCTGAGATGTGCTGTGCAGCGTTTGTGGGGTGCCCTCTGTGAGGCGCAGATGTGAACTCATTAACCTGCATGAATGGTTTTATCTCAAGCTTTATTGATCCACATAGATGTATCCATAAAGTTGTACTTGTGCTGTTTTATTTGATTCTCTTTATGATGATCTACAGGTAAGAGAGCTAGTGAAACAAAAACTGCATGGACTGCTGTTTGGGTTATTTTTATAGGATTGGCCATGGCTGCCGGTGGAGCATATCTTGTTTACAAATATAGACTAAGAGTAAGTACAAAACACTACAATCCCCTAATCCTAAGAGATTTCCTTGTGGTACGCTTGTGTTCAGATGGGCATTAATTTTTCAGTCATGCTGTTATAACTTTCTCTTGATAGTTTGTTACTTAAATCTCTGATGTTATGCATGTATAACTGCTTGAGGATAATCATCTTAATTATCTCTCTCTTTCTCTCAATATCTATATGCGGTTACGCATATGCACAAAGAGGTGATTAAAATAAGCTCTGCCAAATCTTTATCGTTCTGTTTTTTCTTCTGTTTCAGTCGTACATGGACTCGGAAATCAGGGCTATAATGGCACAGTACATGCCACTAGACAGTCAAACAGATGTCCCAAATCATGCAAGTGAGGATCGGGCCTGAAAAGGGGGCCTCCCTTGTTTTTGAGTCCTGGATGATGCAGACATATGGTGTTCTCTCTTTATTCCATCAAGAATGCAAGAATGCTTCTCTTCACGTGGAGTGGCCTCAAGTTCTATGAATCGGTGGATTATGAAAGTAAGACAAGAGATGAAGAGATGGTCCTTAGATTTAAGAGAAACTTACTAAAATTGGGTGCGAATTCTTTTGGGTGGTGGATGGGTGAATGGATTGTATGTAATTAATGGAGTCCCTGTCCCTATTAAGATAGATCGGGTATCCTCCAATTCAAAGAGAAATTATGTAATTCACGTCTAAATTTTCTGGGGCTGAACCTGTCTCATGTTAACTAAATCTTCCGCATTTGTCCTTAAGATTTAAGAGGCCTTGCCCGTTTCAATGGCAGTTGGATCAATTTGTGGGTAGTTATATCATTATGTATTCACTTGTGCTTAAAAATTCCTGCTTGTAACGAGTCAAAGGGGTTATAAACTTAGAATGATTTTGTTCTTAGAATTTTCACAATCATTTTATTTTTATTTTTAGCGTGGATGTATCAAGTGATATTTGTACGGCATAAGATGGTAACTTAGTGTATGCAGAGCAATGCTTATTGTTGAAAATCTACTCCCAAAAATAACTGCGAGACATAGGTTATGTTATAGAGTCTATAGACATAATGGTTTTCTCTTCATTCCTCTTTGAATTTTCAAAGAAAGCCATTTTAAAACGAGAAACTTTTCTGTTCGGTATTGAAAAGAAACATATGAATGGTGCGAGGGCCAGTAGAACATGAAGAGGCATCAAATTTTCAAGCTTTCACGTTATCAAATTCAATTCCTTCCTAAAAGTGTCAGTGTTGTCAACACTGCAGCAGATACCCATCATTCGTTCACCAAAAATTGCCTCAAAATCGTCATTAGATTGCAATACATATATGCCTGTTAAAATTTTCTAAAAAGCAACTGAAATTCCGGCAATGAATAACGATTGTCTGAGTGATCCTTCATGTTTATTTAATCGATTTATATATTTGAGTTCTTTTCTTTTTTGTCTTCTGTTTTTGTAGTATCTGTGTTACCATGAAGTTGTTATGGTCCCGCACGTAGGATTTCGTCACGGGTCGGTCCACGGTGTGAAAGTCCCCTACTTCCCCTTGCGCCTTCCCTTGCTTACAGACCCTATTACGGAAACCCAATGGGTGATTTGTCCAAGAGACCACCCGAACTCTCCTTTGGGGTGATTTGTCCAAGAGACCACCCGAACTCTCCTCATTCTTTTCTTGGCTGGAAAACTGAATAATGTTTTATTTC